TTAAATTACAGATGTTCATAGCAGACTTGTAGGGCAGAATGCTGCACAGCTAGTAACAATGGCAATGTTTTTAATAATTGGAAAAAATTATGTCATGGAAGTGGAGTGTGAATTCGAATATATTATGAAAAATAACCTCATTTCTCTCTATTGCACTCATCCGAGCCACTACAGACACCTCTGTCCTGTGACTTGATAGGATTTTAACTCTTTGGGGAGTTCAGATTGAGCAAGTAAACGATAGGGAGAAAAAGAGAGAGTGAAAGATGGGATATTTTATCAAAATGTAAAGTTGGAAACATTAATCCCATGCTGAGGTTTCAAAGTTTTTATCTTATTAATAGAAACACCAGAGTGTAAATAATGTGATAAGGAAACAGACTTCTCTCCAGGTCATGGTAGCCCTGTAATCTGAAAAAGGATATTAAAGGAATTTAATGAAATGAAGCACAGCGGACAGCAGATGTAGAATAGGAGAAGGTATCACTGCGAGAAAGTACCAATGAATGGGAAACCTGCTAGAACACCAGTGTTTCTCTAAACACCACAAAACAGGACACCAAGTATATTTTTCAACCTTTCAATCATACAACACATAGAAAATGTTAAAATGTTATTATTCCATTTTTTTCTGAACATTAGATTTTGCTTTTTTTATATGATGCAGATAAAAGCTATTTGGCAAATGTAGGTGAAAAAGCACGCAAACCAAACAACCTATTAATGCTCAGAATTATATATGTATTCCCTAAAAATGTAAAGCAATTTTGCTTATTTATTATGTAAAACAAAACTGTTAAAATGTTAATAAAATCCTGTAGCCAAAGGACAAGTGAGTTGGGATTTCTTTGTTACTACAAAACACAGGGTTGCACATAATGTTGCATATATGAAAATTTATTTGAATTGCAATGCGTACTGTATTTAACAGTTATTGTACTATAAAATAGAAGGATTTTTTTTTACTTCTTGCATTTTAGCCACATTGTATTTTAAAGGCAGACTCTTGGAGAACTGAAAACATCACAGAATCACTAATGCGATGTGCTAATGCAAGAGGCTCAAACACATCAGTTCATGATTCTTCCCTGCAGTTCTTTTCTCACAGTTGTATGTTACAAGCCCACAGCCCACCACCATTTCTTGACCTCTCTTCTTTCCTCAGTCCAGATTTAATTTCTTTGGTGTCTGTTCAGTGCAGTGCATTGTGGCAGTAACTTGTGCATGCAAATGCTTTTATCAAACCAGTGACCCCCAGGTATCAGCTCTTTGCAGCACAAATCTTTTTCGTGACAGATATTAAAAAGAGCTTCAATTTTTTTGTATATACACCTACTGCATATTCCAAAGTAGTTCCAAAGAGCAATTTTTTAGACTGCTGATGACTTGCAGCTGAAGCAGAAAAAGAAATTAAAACCCCCTGTTGTACAGTGAAGCAGCAGCACAAAGAATTAAATGATGTAATATTATTTTGAGGTAATAGCCCTTGATTTGTTGGATATATTTAAAAAAACACTCTGAAGTCTTATAAAAGCTTTTACTAGAAGTGAGATGTACAGCTCGAACTCTCAAATGTGAAGTACATTATTACTTTTTCGAATCTTTGGAAACAGTATTGGCGCTGATGGGACACAACCTGCTTACTCTTCTTTCTGAACACAGATACATGCCAACACACCCAGCCTGCTCTGCAGAAGTTTTCCTATCAATAAGCAACCCTTACAAATATTTTCACAATGTGTAATGAGAAATGTTAAAGCAGAGTCCAGGAGGAAAAAAATGAAGTCACAAAAATACAGACATCATAATAAAGGGTTTTTGAAAGCACTTCATCAAGAAAATAGTTTAAGATATGACATCATCTCACAACAAAAGACGTGTTTTACTAATCTAGACAGTTGAATGAAATTAAATATTTTCAGTGCATCACTCTGGATCTGGAGTTGTCTGGTTCTCTCCATACTGATGTCCAGAGGTGCCCTATGCCACATTTGTCTGCCATACATAAAGAACAACAGTATCAATTATTCTCATACAAAAATGTTATGGCTTTCTGGGTCTGCCAAGTTTGGCAAACCAAGAGTAAGACGACTGGCTGTGCTCCCCATCTACCTTACAGTGAGCGTGGTACAGGGAGGTTCTCTGGCTGTCTCCACAGGAACAGCTGCCACTCATCAGGACCCTTGACAGCAGCTCACTACACAATGAGAATTGTCTTTGTGAAGTTCTTTGGTTCTTCCAAAGGAAAGGTCAGGTATGTAGCAAACGCTTTGTCCAACCCAAGGGTGTTTCATTGGGACAACAGGTAGTTTTATACACATAAAGCAGAAACGTTCCCACAGCAGCCAACTATCCTTCGAAGCATAGTTGCTTGGCTAGTTCTCATTTGCAGAAAGGAAGTTTAATATCAACTTTATTTCCAATGCAAAATTTTCTGGAATAATATTACAACTCACAGTGAGAATAGAACAAGCTTTTCATTAAGAAGGCTATGAAGAAATAGAAAAGGAACATTAGCATCCAGGAAATACTGCAACGTTTTACTATTAAGAATCCATCTGCCTGCTGCTCAGACACTGTGGTGGTGCAACTGATGAAGGTTTGAAGGTCTGTCCTACCGTTCAGACAGGAACATGTTTTACCGTTCTTCCCCATCATTCTTTTACAGTACTTGTCCCTCACAAAGGGAAAGCATGTTTTTAGGGAATAATTAAAGTCAAAACCTGATGTATGACCTGGTTATTTAAAGAAATTTCTACAGGCACTCATCAGTCTACCTGGAACACGAGCAAACTCAAAGGTGCTTCCTGCAGGCACACCCTACAGTACTGAAACACAGACACTGTTTTGCTACACATATCGGATTGAGGTACAGATCTAAAGTTTTGTAAAGCTCTGTGGTTGGCAAAACAGTACCAGGGCTATGCTTTCCACAGCAACCTGCAGCTGCACATTGCTTACATACTGCTTGAAAGAAAAGTAGAAAAGAAGTGAAGATGTACAAGGAAGGTGCAAGTGTGCACACACACCCACACACCATTTTTTCTATATGTATATATAAATGATTTCTTCATTTTATTTAAACTTCATTAATCAAACTCAACTTTCATTGTATTACATTACGCATCAGTATTCGATTCTGAAATAAAGGTAGTTGCCAAAAATTAACAGCCCAAAGCAGTTTTGAAAGCATCTGGTGGGAAAACCTGAAAACTGGTGTTCATGTGTATCATTTCAACTATGCCCATTAACAGCTGTCTGCACTCCACTGTCCAGTTCTATGAAATATTGGTCTGCTGTCTCATATGATACAGATCACGAAGGGAAACAAAACAGCAGGGTATGGACAACCCGGCATACTGACAAATCTGCTGTGATATGGAGAATAAAATCCTAAATGTAATAGGGACAACTTAATTTCCAACACTTGCTGCCAAACCACCTAAGCCCTAATATGTGAGGATTTCTCTAAATTACCATTACAGACTAGTTTTCTTGTTTTACAACTTCTTGACTTTGTAACTGAAACAATCTACTAGCGTGTTCAGATTGTTTATGAGGTGAACTTTAACCTAAAAACCCCATTTCTGGCTAGCAGACAGAAGCCCTTTGTGGAAACCAATTTGGCTGATCCACCTTCAGTAGGGACAAGGTAACGTAATAAGCAGTGCTGCCTACTTGAGGAAATGAAGCTGGCCACATCACACCTATGACAAACTTTTCATTTGCAGAGAGCTGTTTGAAGTGCTGTGGTGGCCAAGCCTCCTGGGGCAAATTCGCCTTGCCCGAGAGAAAAACCCGACAAGCTGCCATCATGCGGAAGCTCCCCCATGCCTGCTTCACGATGCCTTCCAGTCATGACCAAGCTGTTAGACCTAACCTGCAACTGTGCAGCCAGCCCCCAAAGCAAGCTGCTTTCAGGTCAGCAGGTGTTAAACCTCTTTCTTTTAATGATTAGCAGCAAAACCAGATGCTCTGCCTTGGGAAAGAGGGTGACAAAAGAAACAATGGAAGATAATTGGACCCAGATTAACTGCAGGTTTTCTCTTTATCTCTACTGTAGTAGTTTTTTATGGCAAGCATTTTAAGAGCTGGGTATTTTATTTTATTTATTAGCTTAACTTCATTGCTATTAGGATAGAATCATTATTAAATTCTAAACTACTGAATAGAACTTCCCCCTCCTGACATGGGATTCTACAATAACCTGGATAGGAAGGTTGCAGCTAGGTGATACAATACTCCAGTGGGCTATTCTTAAGGGGGCTAAGGCCTCTTGGAAGACTATGATTCAAAGGACATATGAGATGATCTATTTAAATCAAATTGACTAAGAAGAGCAACATACACAATTTGGATAACCAACCACAGATCTTAAGTGCTGATGGAAAACTCTCCAAAAACTCAAGGCAGCCATGAGAGAGTTGCAGACCTGAGACCAAAGCACTGGATGGCAAAATGCTGTGCAGGCCCGCATAGAGAAGAACCAAATCATCAAGACTTTACACTTAGACCTGAAGTTAAACACAGTGGTAATCCCGGTAATTCAGAAATATACGATGAGCTCTCCTAGCTCTTTCCACAGCAGAAAATGCAGAAACCAGAATTTAGTTTAAAAAACATAGTAAAAATGTAAAGATTGTATTGTGCTAAAGTACAATAAAATCACAGAAACAAAAAGAAAATAGTTAGCCACTTCAGTTTCTCAAATACAGAGTGCAAATGAAGAGAAAGTTCTGAGGCTCCTTTTAAAGAATAGATGCTTACAAAGAATGGCAACATTGATGTGTTTTAAAGTTAATACAAAAGAATAAAGGCCTTCAGCAATGAGATAATTACCTCTTCTTAACAGTTGAAGTTATCCATGTCAAAGAACAAAGATATCAGAAAATCAGAAGGAAAAACCCCCAAGCTATCAATTACCCTTCCCACCTTTAGGTTTAGCTGCTTGGTGCCAAATACTTAAGAGCCTCCCTTTGCACTGGGAGCTCAGAGGACTATTAATGCTTTGGGACTATGAGGTTTCTCAGCATGTCGAAAGAGTTGCCATCGGGGTGCACAGACTCTACACCCTTGCCTTCTTCATGAACTTGAAGGTATCCATAATCATCTATCCCAACTATCCATGCATTCGGGCCCTCCTCATTGTAGAGATGGACTTTCTTACCACTGCAAATAAAGAGAACCAGACAGTTAGAGATTAATTGGTGGACACTGCACAAACAATTAAAAATAGCTTAGAGGACTAATATCTAGCAGAATGTTTTTATTTCCTACTCCACCGGTTCTTTACAAAGAATGATTTTCAGGAGCATTTTCTGCCTGCTTGATTTCTTTCTGTGGAATTAACAGAGTTGGAGTAAATCTAAAGAGTCTACTTTTTTTTAAATAAAAGACATGAGTACAGCAGTTCACCACTAGCTTAACAAATCACTCTCAATTCCCTTTGTTTTGAGATGATACGAGTAAAATACCTAGAATCATTTTTTAACTCATGCTAGACATCCTATGGGGGAGTATATTTTAATTACTAATCATTAGAATTGAAGGCAATCTAGTAAAAAAAGAAGAAAAAGACAAAGTATCAATGAGTTATTTCCAACTTCCTTAGAGGAAAGTTCGAGAAGAACATTAATCTTACCTGTGTACCCAGTACTTGTAATAACTTGGAAGAACTCCGTTGGGCCCTTCGTCCTGAAAAATATCTATAAGCCTCTCTAGCACAGTTACAGTTCTTGCAATAAGACAGTCTGCAGTTAAAGGCTTCAGATTTTTCCCCTCTTCCTTATTAAATTTTGTGATGAGATCATTGATGCATATGGTAGGGTTGCTGTTATTCACATTGAATCCAAAGCCTGAAGAAGACAAACCAAAAGAAGAGGACAGGATCTGTAAACACTAGCACTTTGTTACTGCCAGAAAGTTAGCACTTTATTCAACTACTTGATACAATTATCTCTCAGGATGTTTCCAGTAGCTCTTTTTCTTCAGTCTTTTACACCTTTAAATCTTACTTCTGGGAAGTCCAGATTTTACTTTGCCTTTGCCCTTAAAATGCCTCCTCAGAATTGTAGAAGCAAATCCACTGCAGTCTTTCAATGACACACCATCCTGCCAATGAGGGTTGGGAAGATGTGGTAATTTGCACATTGGTTACAATAACATTAAAGTGAGAAATTATTTCACTCCCTGGATCCTGACAAGTCATTAGCTAATGGTGAGTAAATCATCTATCATACTTTAAGAGATTAATCTTTAATTCTAAAATTTCTGTTTACTGCAGTCAGCTGGTTGCATTTTCTAAAAGTTAAGCTTTTTTACTCTGCTGATAAGCCTTGTTTGGCTTGCTCTGAAAAGCCCAGAAGATCTAACTTTGCCGTGTAAGACTCCAGTTTGCTTAATCTATCTTATCACAGCATATCCTTTAGAAGCCTTAAGTCTCTCACTGAATTTCTCCAGCTAGAATAATGTTGGTAGAATGCCTTTTTTATTTAAATATGGCTCTTGGGGCCTTTTTTGCAGCCTGCTGAAACAGGCTTCGAGGCATGTAAAGAAATATATTGTATTACCTGTTTATTTTTTTCTCCTAATAATTTGGATTTGTCTTTCCTCAGACATTTGGGATAAAACCCCTCTCTGTCAATCAGGTTTAGGCATGATACATTTCCATTGGCAAGAAGGTCCAGAGGCACAGTTCTGTAAATTTGCTATTAATGAGACTATTCATATATGGAAGTAATTTGTATTAACTGTTAGAAGGATCTCTTCTGTGAAAAGGGTTTTTTGACTTTTAACTATTTGAAGAATGCATGCAAAGAAAGTCACAATGATACCAGTACCATAGATCCTGTGGAACTTAGGTGAAATGTATTATCGTAAAGACACAAAGGAAAATGAACTGGAAGATAAAATGTGCCATGCCAGCAAAAACTAACTCAGCTGTTTATGCTCAGATACAGTACAAGTGAAGAGAGAGTGACCGTGGCCATCAAGCTGTGATTGGTACTGTCACAGTGCATAACGGGGCCTTGGAGTCCATCTGCTGGCTCAGAGCACTCAGTCTTACATATATGAAGACACCACTTAGCAATCCAAAAATTGAAGCAAACATCAGGGACATACTGAGATGATGAGCTCAGCTGAGGCAGAACCTCAGGGGATAAACACCATGGCAAAAATTTAGCCAGTTAATTTGAAAAATACCAGGTGCTGAGGACTCTTACGGCATCTCTGCCCATGTGGGAAGACTGAAAAAGAAACATTCAGCACTGATCGTGCAGTGTGCTGATGTGGCTAACACATCTTCCAGTTCTAGAGCTAGCCCTGCCTTCAGCAGCTGTGCACTGTTTGGATATGCCTTAGCTGCACAGAGGCAGACAGAGCTTTTGCAGGTCAAGGACATTGGCTGTTCCTTGCATTCCACTTGTGTTTGGCTACTGATGTCTGTTCAGAGTCTGGCCCTTACATTAACAAAGTATGTTCTGCAGAACTCTTCTTCCAAAAGGCCTGCAACAAGTAAGTTCTTAAAAAAAAAAAAAAAAAAACCAACCAAAAAACTCCCCACAAAACTCACAACAAAACAAAGTCCCTGATTTTTTAAAAACCATGTTTAAAAGTACAAACATGAACTGTGTCATCTATGAAGCCTTGAACACATGGCACAGGTGAAAAGGCAGGTTTGTCTTTCACCTTATTCTTCACAGCAGTAAAGTTATGTAGATGATCTTTGCTTTTCATCATTACACTCATATACGGGATACTCTTCATGAATGTCATGTCAACAGTGATGTCTAGGTAAGGGATCAGCATGGGTGTAGAAAGGGGATGATGCATGCTTACCTTTCCTGCTGTGAAAGTTTGATCTCATTGCTACTACTAATACAGGAAGTTATGAGTCACCCCTGTTACTGTCAGTGACATACATCACTGAAATGATGTAAAGATCCTTGACTTGAAGTGGCAAATAAGTTTCAATATTAGAAGCTTCCAGGTGGAAGAAAGTTGATGAAAATGTACACCTTTGTATATACTCAGACCTATCACCACTAAGATGACTCCTATGGACATCATAGAAAATGAATACAGAAAGTTTCCTGTATTTGAATGTTTTGGTGTTTAGGGTAAGAAACAGAAGGTAAAACAAGTATGTATTGTGCAAAGAGATATTTGAAAAGATTAACTATTTCTGGAGCCATTTTTGCTCATCTTGTGTTAACCAGAACAGGCTCTGGAAAAACTTACGGAAGCAGTAAATGGTTGACAGGGCACAGAGAAGTTTTTTAAGTGTCACAGTGCAACTTCCATTCTGCACAGGTAGATTATTTACAGAAAGAGGATATAACAATTGAACAGAAAATTTAATGGTTGGACATGTTTCACAGAAGGAGGTGATGACTACTTCAATTGTTTTGATTGTTCACGCCTTGAAATTTATAGCACCTTGACAGAATTGATACCATGGCCATACTCTCTTTGCAAGATACGTTACTTATCTCCTGCGTTACATTCAAATATAAACCAAATATTATCATCTTCTTTAACCTTTATGACTTGCTAGGGAACTTTCATTTAATTTTTTAAACATAGCAGAGAGAATTACTTTTGGAACCAGAACTTAGAGCTCTGCTGGCAGGTTTCTAAGCTTGTCTGACAGATCTCTGCTGCCGCTGGTTGGGGGAAAAAAATTCCTCAACAAATAGCAGGATGATTATCAGACTTAAAATGATAAAAATATCTCAGTACTTATTTGTGCACCTAAATGTCTTCCCTGTTACAGCACAGGGACTTGCTGGAAAATACATGTACAATCTTTCTTAAATTGTCTCTGCTACCTTTTTGGAACCAGCTGTCCAGGTAGACTGTTTGTCTTACAATGAACTAACAGATTGTCGCTCTTTGCTTCCTGACCCAGCCTTCCCAAATACTTTTTGAGGGAACTAAATAAAGTAGTTAATTGATGGAATCATTACTTCAGCTCTGCTTCACTAGCAATATTCCAGTTTCTAGAAAGATATCAACAGGAACAAGTTATGAATAAATTTTTAAAGGCGAAATGAAAGCATTATGCATACATAGCTCTTTTTCTCCTGATTTAAAAGGCATATTCTTTATTTAACTATTTGTCATGTTGAAAAAATAAAAAAGAAAGAAAATTGATAAAAATGGACAAATTTTTCAGCATTCAATATTCTAGTTTTGCAATAGATCAAGGAGGACATTTTCCCTCTTTCCTGAAATGCTCTTTCTTTGAACTCCCCTACATCAGCCCAGATGCTTGCATTTATGTTTTTCTTGTAAAGCATGTGGAATTATTAAGAAGAATGAAAAATATTTACTTTTTGTGCTTCCTTCTGATTTAATATTGTGCTTTATTTCCTTATGGCTGCTGTTATTATATGTTCTTGTCCTTATCATTTGAACTCATAATAACAAATTTCTTCAGAAAAAAACCAGCAAAGAAAAGCTTGAAAATAGACATTTACCAATAACTATATGAAATGTTGTTTCAATAAGTGTAGAGTTTACCAGAACTCCACCAAGCTTAATAAGATCGCTGTAGTAGATATCATTTGGCCATTTTACTCGCAGATCAATATCCTAAAGAAACAAAAAACATACATTAAGAAACACTTTGCCCTTCGATACTGATTATAAGAACACAGGTCATTCATCACTCCAGATTCTATCATTTCTGTACCTCTTCGTCACACTGAATGTGATACTGCCAACTGCTCTTCATAATGAGAACCTATTTAAGTACTTCACAAATGTTACTGAAAAGGTCATAGTAACATGGTTACATGGTTTACTAAGGAGGTTGGCAGCTGTCAGAGAAAAGTATCTATTTCTTAAGAAAAAGAAAAAAGAAAACGGCTTAGAGCAACCAAAAGGGGCTCTAAGGATACTAGAGATTTTTAATCCCAAAATTGTGAGGGTTTTTAGAATTCATTTCCTTCAGCCATGAGTGCCTATTAAAGATTTAGAAGATCTGTTCAAGAAGGATGCAAACTGCAGCAGCCACTGTGGCTCACTGCTGATAAACAACCAGGGTAAGCCTACAAAAACATGAACACGGTATTTGAGAATTCTTGCAGAAACCAGACAAGGAGACAGTGACATCCTGAATTTCAGAAAGGAGAAATTCCAGTTCACAACTATGTAAATACTTCAGTAACGTCCTAAACATATTCACGCTTTCAGCAGCTATGCTCAAGCAACACCCTGGAGCTGGAAACACAAACTGTGCTGTGTGACACCATTCCAGCGCAATAGAGAAGTTTTTGTTGAAACCACAGAACTGAACTGAACTTTGCACCGGCTACTTAAACACAAAAAGAAAGCAAATGTGCTTCCTGCAGTTTGAAAAACTGCATATGACTGTATCCCCAGAGGCAAATTATGGGAGGTGCTCCAGGACTACAAGAGTCGCATTCCCTCCTATTGTAGATTATGAAATCCCTTTACAGGATGTGTGAAAACTGCACCTGGGTCCATGTCTACTTTCCTGACAGATTTAAAAGGCCAGAGGGGAGTCCATTACACATACATTGACAGGAAATACTACCTGATTTTGCTATCAAAGCATTCTAAGAGAGAGTATCACCAATTCATATTCATTATGGAAAATGACTTTGCACTGGGAAAAGATTTATAGAAAACTCTTGAGACATGCAAAGTATGACATAGTTAAACAGTATTATCAGTGTTAAGAGATCTTCCGAAGAGCTATTCATTAGGTCTTACTTAAGAAAAACATACACCTGTAAGAAAACCAGACACTAGAGCTCTGCAAAATGACAGCAAGCAAGTCAACTGGGTATTCTCACAGTGTAAACCACAGAGCAAAGACTTTGCCACAAAATGGAGTTATAAGGTACTGCACAACTACCCACGTGTCAAAGAAACAATAGGTGTTACAAAATATGCTGGAAATAGAGCACTTGCTTATCATTACTTACTAGAGAGAGGTGTTTGCTATTCTCAGAATGGGAAAGCAAAGCACTCTCTTGATATAAGGCTCATTTGCATTTGCAGCACTAACATCTGACGTAAAACTTCCAACTGAGTGGTCAGATTTTTTCCATGAGGAATCAGCACAAAGGCCTCAGTTGCTGCCTGTTTAGCACAGTCAACATTCATGGCAAACCTAAAAATGATGACTGAGACACAGGTGTTTCAGTATTTATTTTTAATAGAAACCCTAAAATGGACTTCAAGCATAGCAAACAACATCAGGGTGCTAAAATATTATTAAGATTCTGACATACAACCACAAAGGTATGGAAATTTCGAGGGAGAATGAAAGCTCTCCTATAGATTAGCCCATTGTTTCCAGCTACTGCCATTTGCATGGCATGGATGGTCATGTGACATAAAGAAAAGCCCTGCATTACCTAAGTCGAAAGGGAAAATTTAAGCATTGAATTCCCAATAAATCTTTGAATTTCCTTGCTTTAATATGTTTGAGTCCAGACCCTTAACACTGGTTATTCAGTAACTTGGTCTTGGTCAAAGCGAGCTATGTTTTGTACATGTGCTATGTACAGCACATGAATTATTGGTACACACTATTTTTATATTCATATTTAGTACTTCAGTCTAAACCTCTAACCTTTTTCTTCTTGAATGGAATAAAACAAAAAATGCCATAGTATACTAGGGTAGGCATAAAGAAGCAAAATGACCTCCATTCATAAATTAACTCCTTCCCCAGTCAGACTCATATTTTATAAAACTAAATCTTGCCCTTCTATTTTTAAATGGTTAAATTATTCACTCCAGCCAAATATTTTATATTGCAAATATCTGCCTGAAGCATTTTGTTTTTATAGTCAAGTTATGAAGCACTGAAGTTAGAAGGTTTTAATAGAAAGGCTGACAGACCCTAAACTACAGCAAAGCTACTGGGTGCCGCTATAATAAAGTTCATGTGTAAATGTGTATAAGTCATTGATTTTCTGTAATATAGGAAACATATGCTTTAGTTAACTACTTCTGTAAAATACCAAAGTTTTATAGTTAGCAAATATTAGGAAATGGTAACATTAAAAAGGAGATATATGAGGTGATGAAGAAGACTGGTTCTTCATTTTAATACTGATGACAGGACACTTGATTCCCTCTTGAGAGCAATACTCCTAAGTTCTTGCTTTAGAAATCAGTTTTTGACCTTAAACAAGGGTTGGAAAAATCCTTTAAAAGGGATAAAGTGACCACTGAAACAACACCACCAAAAAAAAACCCAGAAAAGGATTTGTCAGTTTTATTCATTTTCTCCTTCTCCTTCTTCCCCACCTTCTTAAAAATCAAAACAAACTAATTCAATTGTCAGACAAACAAAATTGACATTATCTTTACTGCTGAAGACTGAGTCTTAAGTTTCATAAGACTGAGTGAAATGAGTGCAGTATACTTAATCAGCTCAGTAAAAGACAGTATTCATCATATGTATACTAGATTTCCTAAAACACATAAATAATCAAGCATGTATGAAGGCTAAGTTTACCACTATATTAGTGCTGAAAAAACTGTATTATGCATTCAGTTATTCTACACATAAGACATAGTTAAAATCTGAATTTAATGAAAATGGAAACAGGAATTTTGAGATAAATTAGAATGACATACCTCGTATTCTGGTATTGATCTAACTGACTCTACTACTGCCAAGGACACCAGGTGTTGAATAAAAGAAATTCTCTGGCCCAGGTTGGAATGTAGAGGAACGGTGATATGTAAAGTGGATAGTGCACAGCCCACAGGACTGAGCCAAACATTTCCACCACGACCTGGGAAGGGAGAAGAAAAAAGTTGACTTCAACTCAAGAAAATAATATTTATTAAAAAGATCACTGTGTTAATGTGGACAACTACAAAAGAGAAAGACTTAATAGTATCCATCCAAGAATCTACTGTAAGTCCTGTAATGGAGTTTCAAAACTAATTTTGAAAGAAAAATGGTTAACATGCAAACCTTCTTTTAAAAAAAAAACAGCAGGTTGTTTAATATGCATGCTGCTACCCAAATTCCTAGAATGTCCCAAATGACCAGCTTCCAGGATTTTCCTGGTATCTCGTAACATACACATTCCAAAAGATCTTGCTTTGTTATCTGCAGAAGTGTTTGAGAAGATGCTCTGTGTGCACCTAGAAATCCACCTACATTGTGAATCAACTTGGCCCAAGCTAGATCTGTACCAAAAGCCAGGTAACCACCTTCATGTAGATCTATGCTCTGAAGAGCTTATTAGGCTGGATGCTGTGTTCTTCTAATAAAATGAATACTGCTTTTAAATCAGTGTAAGCACCCTCCCGGGAAAAGGACAGAACTTGCAAAAGACTCTGAAAGCCCACCTTCAGGCAAATCCTGCAGACTCCAGGAACCTCTATCTCAGAGCAAGTCAAGACCCAGTCTTGTTCCAGTTAAGTCAAAAAGGAGTTCTGATTTGCAAGTCTGACTTGTATTACACTAAATGTAGTAATGGCAGTTTCCATGACTGGGAAGACTTTTTGACAGAAACTAGACCATTAAATCATTTCTGCAAAAGCCACCAAACATCCTGAAAATGTTTACTTTGGTCTCTATTAACTTACGGTTTGAGTTTGAATCCGCAGTTCAAGTGAGAAGAGAAGAGGACACGATTATTCTGTAGATGATATTGTCAAAAATACTCACAATGTATCTTTAAGGCTAGGTGACAGTAAAATGTCCTATTTTATATACTTAATACATATTTATTAGCACTAGAAGGAAACTTACATACCTTTCCCTTGTGTTTGGCGAACAGCAATTGCTATTAAACCCATCTCCTCAGGCAACTCGAACATTAACCTGCCAATTAGGAAAAAAAACCCCATGCTTATCAGCTGAAACACTAAGCTACATTCATGAAAATCTAGGCTTAAATATCAGGTAATATTTTATGTTAACATTGCACTACCATTTATCCATTTTCAGTTAACATTTATTCTTGACCAAAAAGCATTAGAATATTAAAAAAAGATTAACTGAAAAACGATAATGTAAAACATTACTATATCTATTACTCTGGAAAAAGTTATAGCCCTAGGTCATTTAAGGTGCCTTCTGATAACATACGTTTTGTATTTCTTCACATTTTCTTGAAGTGCTTATTTTTTGCATGTCACTATCTTCAGTAAGTGACAACTAGCAATTCTAGACATTTGTTTCTACTTACAGCAAATTTTTGTTCATACTACAGAATATAAGACCAGCAGTTTCTGATTATTTAGAAAACCAATATGGTGGCAATAAAGCAGTTTAAAAGATACACTATCCCCTGAGAACTAATTATGATTTAACTACAGTAAATAAATCTACACCTTCTGAGAACTCTAGAGAACACTGGCTTATTTTAGGCTTGTGTTCTGCTTTTAAAATAGTTTCACTTAAAAGAATACTAACTTTCCTCTGGGGATAAGTAGAAAGTGCACTTTAACACCACCAAATGAGTCAATGCTAGACTTAAAAAAAAAAAGAAGAAAAAACCCTACTGTGAGAACTTCATTCAAGCCACTTTAAAACAGATTTGAACTGTGCTGTGATCCTCCTCCATTTTCAGGAAGAGTTATATAACAGATAAAACATATTCAAGATGTTGCTAGCAAGGTAAACACAGAAAGTGATGTATAGTCTAAAAGTCTGCTTCTAACATGGCACAAATATAACATTGTTCATTCATATAAAAGCAATCTTGTCTTGGAGGTAAGTGCAGTCCAGGTCAGCAAAGAGTTCAAACTTATTTCCTCTGAATTTCAGATATGTATGAAAGGTGTTTCAACATCTGCAATCAAGCAAGTATCCCTGGGCAGCTAAGACCAGCTGCAAGCAGAACTGTCCCCCTGCTGCCCACAGGCACACACCTATATATGCAGATGACAAACTAAGTAACTATCCATCCCTCCGGCTTCGTGGGTTGAAAAGCAGGGCTTTGGTAACTCTTGGGACTGTGTAGGTAGTAAAACGCAAGAAGGATCCCTAAGGTTTCAGAATATCTTTTAAATGGGTGACTTGTTTTCATGATGATCAGAATGGAAGGTTATTGGAGGGCCCAAGCAAATTCTGGACCACAAATGCCTTTGCTAATTAGAAATAATTGAACCCAAACTGGCAGAAGCTGTCACAGGTTCCACAATGTTTTTCCACACTACTCCTCAGTTACTGAGATGCTGTCAAAGAGCAATAGCCTGCTGTCTTTGCCAGTCCCCTTCCAGTTCACATGAAATACAGCTCAATAATTCTTTCTTTTGGACTCTACAGATTACACACTGATAGAAGGCTCACCTATCTACCTCCAACCTTTAACATTAAAAATACACCTCTTCCTATGCTGGCACCTGAGGAAAATCCTCCACAGCTCATGAGGCTTCAGCCCTGTCTTCTGGGAACAGTGTGATTTCAGTTACAACACAAGTTCATGGTTTTGTAACAAGAAAATCTAATTTAAATTTGGAAGTACAGTTAGAAAGAGATTACACTGGTTTCTGTTACTTCTCCATTTACAGATTTGTTTTTAAATAGGTAAAAAAAAAAGAGCCATGTGCTGCCATGATGGGAGGAAAATAATCAGAGCAGGAAAAAAAACTTAATTATGAATCCAAAACACAGGCTTCTAGAACAAAGAGATATGATTAACAGAACATATGAATGTAACTATTAGAGGCTTGGCAGCAGGTAAGAACATATTAAATGCAGAGACTTTTAAGGGTCAGGAAGAAATTCTTTAATGGACACAATGTGGGGAAGTTAATACCCAGACTGATACAGCAAGAGACAGATAGATTTATTTTTACTACTTCTTGCGATTGTGCTGGAATTACCATGAAGACTATGATGATAAAAGCCCCCACACAACTGTCCCCCCTCCAACCTCCCAACTTCAGAGCTTTGTAAATTTTGTGTGCTTGTTAGTTTTATTCTAGGAGAAACAACTTGGATTTCCCTTACCAGAAAGAGTAACTGTACGTGCACTTCTTTACATATCGACTTCCCTTCTTTTCTTTCAACTTAATCAGTTGCAGATTTAACAATTTAATTTTTCTGCAGAGTGACTTAATCACAGTGCTCACCACATTTCCCCCACGAAATTTTTTCCTTCAAGAAATTCTCTGTTCTTTTTTTGGCTCTTTAACTAACTTGCTCTACATATTAAGTCACAAGACCACACTGAGATACGAGAGTAGGGGAACATGAAATGTCTGAAGACAAATTTACCCATCAGGAAGAATATCAGATGGCACCTACATGACTGTAGAAGATGATACTAGAATTTTATGTAATTTTTACTTTTCTGCTTTGAGCATTTTTGTGGTATTTTCCAAAACGTGAGCAAGGCACTTTTGGTATTCAAGAATATTCAACCAGTTGAAATACTGAGAGAGCTTCTTGCACTATTTTTTATACAAATGTCCTTCCCTTGCCTGTAGTGCATACTATGAATGCTGTTGAGTAATAAACAATACTTAATTGTTTTATAGAAATTGTCAAGTCTAAGGAGGACTCTGTCTTCATGGCTAATCAACACAATGACTTTTCTTCCTACATGAACGTAAAATGGGAATTGAAACCACAAAAACTATGTTTGAATAATGTTAAAGGCCTGACAACTATAAATTTCATTGATGTTGTGGGTTTAAGATTGAAACTCTCATTAATGCATCCTGCTGTGTTACAGTATTGCAGAGGTATTACAACAGGCAGCATTACGTTCCAGATGTTGACATACCTGGGCACAAGAGAGTAAGTTATGAACAGATTTATCCCTTTAAGTCTGAAAATCTCACTCTCAAATAGCTTGTTTATAGAGTATTATAAAAGCAACATAAAAAAAACCCTTACAATTTTTAGTCAAACAGTAAGAAATACACCTTTTGATCAGTTTCTTGTATTATTTTGGACAAAAAGGTGCCTGAACACTTGCTTTACTACTTTATATCTACTGTTTCTGACCATTATGTCCAATTTGAAAATGAGCAGTTTGTCTACTCTTTCTCCTAAACTCTCCTTCATTGCCCTCCATTTCCTTTTCATAGCCCTCAACTACATGATGCTATGTCTGACTGCAAGCTCTGTGTGCTGAATGGCCTGCCAGAGGGCATGCTGGCCAAGCAGAATAGGTAGCTCTCAAGTCCATGCTACAGACTCCTTGCTAGCAGCACTGATCCGTGTCTTTCTCTCCTACTTGGTAGCCTGTATTCATAAGAACACAAATACCTAAAGGAGCTCAAAGATATGGAAGTCTTCTGTAAAATGGGCAGTAGACTCACTGAGAACTGGGGGGCCACGATCAGAGGAGAAGCCACCAAGACTGACATCATGGTGTGAGTCTGTTGCAGACCACCTAATCAGAAGGAGGAAGTGGAAGCAGTCTTTTTGGGCTACTGGAGGACATATGCAGATCACAGATCCTGATTCCTATGGAGAGACTCCCATCTCCCAATATCTGCTAAAAGACAAACGATGGGATGCAAGCAATCCAGCTGACTTGTGGAGGATGCTAGGGACAAGCTCTTAACACAAATATCAGATGATCAACTCAAGTGATCAACTTGATCTGCTACAAACAAGAGAGAGCTGACTGGGGAGGCGATATTCTGTTACAGCTTTGGCCATAGCAACCATGAACCAATTCTGTTCAGGATCTTGAGAAGAATGAAGAAGGCAAGTAACACAGTACAAACCCTGGATTTCACAAGAGCAGAATTCAGTTTATTTAGGGACCTGATAGATGGGATCTTATGCAAGGCAGCTCTGAAGGACAAGTGAGCTGAACAGACCTCATCTTCAAAGACAATCTCCCACAGACAAAATAGCAGTCCACCACAATACTGAGGAAAATAAGCAGATGAACAGTCTGGTTTGGCTAAACAGGGAATTCATGACTGTAGAAAGAATGTTCAAAAGAGACGGAAGCATGGAGAAATGCTACCAAAAAAAAAAAAAAAGAGCAGCAGAAACATTGTCCAGGCAAGCAAGGATGATGTTAGGAAAGCCGAAGCTCAGCTGCAGTAGAGATTGTCAAGAAACAGCAACAAGAACTTCTACTGCTGTATGATAAGAATAAACAAGGAAAATGTGGGTTTGCAACTGACTGACGCAAAAGCACAGTGGACACATACAACACTGAGTTACTCAATGCATTCTTTACCCCAGTCTTTAACAACAAGGTCTCCCAGGCCTTTACACATACTGACAGAGTTCAAGGAGAAGAGAAAATACCAAGAGTAGAAAAAGACTGATTTCATAAAACTCTTCTGAAATCTTGTCTCATACAAGTCCACAAAAGCAGACGGGGTGCACCTGAGAATGCTGAGAGAGCTGGCTGATGGCGCATCAAGGCTGTTTTCTATCATTGTGGTCATGGAGATCAGAGTAAGTCCCAGACGAATAGAGAAGGGCAAATATTGCAGCCATGTTCAAGATGATCTTTCACAACACCTTGTATCCACATTTGGCCATCGTAGTCTAGAGGAATGCACCACCAAACCAGCAAAAAAGTGACTGGATTCTGGGATTGAAAAATAGGGGTTTATAACCTACCTTTAGGCTGGATACAACTGCAGTTCCTCAGGGATTTATCCTGAGACCTATCCTACAACTATCTTAATATCTCTACCAATGACCTGTAGGAGGAAATGGCATGCATGTTAATCAAGTTTGTGAATAACAGTGAACTATGAGGATAACTATGCATTGAAATAGGGTGCCCAGAGAGGCTGTAGAGTATTTCTGTCCCTGGAGATTTTCAGGATCTGAGCTGAAAAAGCCCTGAACAAGCTGGTCTGAATACGCTGCTAATCCCACTTGAAAGG